ATTTTTTATCATGATATTTGTTTCTTCCAAATGACATGGTCAGTGGGAGTTGCATTTTCAAAATTTTCAGTCACAGTGTAATAATTTGGTACATCTGCAAACGATTCCATCGTGTTTTCAAGTGATGGAATTAAATTCAGCCACATCTCAAGTAATGAATTTTCTGTCCTATTAAATTTTTGGGGGGTGAATATCTTGCCTGTAATTTCATTAGCATTATAATTGATGATTTATGTTTCTGTACTTTTGATGATTCACTTGCCTGGGTTTATGATCAATAATTTGTACTGTTATTTTGTCTTTTACTACTAAGGATATTCTAGAGAGAAGCTCTGATATGGCGGCTACTGTAACTGCATCTTCTACTGGTGTACGTTATGCACCAGATGACCCCAGCCTCCCAAAACCTTGGAGAGGCCTGGTTGATGGAAAGACTGGATATCTATATTTCTGGAATCCAGAGACCAATGTTACCCAATATGAAAAGCCCGCTGCCTTGTTGCAAGCAAGCCCTGGTTCACCTTACAAATCTTTGACTTCATCGGTTCAAAAGTCCTCTCCCGAACGTTGCAGCGACAATGATGGTGATGATTATAGCGGTGGTAACAATGGTGTATCAATGAAGGTTACTTTTGGAGCAGGAAGTTATCAGGTGTCTAAATGGTTCTCTTATAAGTTCTTTGCATTCCAGTGTCACTTATAACACAGTTACACTGAACATTTCTAGACCCATCTTATCTAAGTAGAAATGACATCCACAATTTCTTGTCTTGCTTCACTAACCTATTTTACGTGTTGGGTTTACTTTTTGTCATTTGTCGACTAGCATTTATTCAACAAATATTTGTTGGTACTGTTAGATTCTCTATTTCACGATCCCTCTCTCTGTCTCTCATGCTGTGTATGTGTGTTAATATCATAACTATTGCATGATTTTATTTGCTTTCCATTGCAACTTATATTTGGTGATATAATTTAGTTGGAGCATCTATAACTATTACCTATGTTAATATGCAATGTGTTAATGACTAAACAACCCAAGGATGGACGTATATGTTATTTTATTAACTTTTAATTTTTTCTTCATTTTGAGTTAGACTACAAGTAGTAGATTGGATGGTTCACGTGATGATCTGAATGTGAAAATGGGTACTGGACATGGATCATCTGCTTCCAAAGGTGCACCAAGTGTGTTGTCTCCTGATGCGTATTGTAGTCAGCATGAAATATCCGTAATAGTAAGAATCTATATCATTCTGTGTATTTATTATTCTATGTGTTTTTCCGCTTTAATGATGTTTGGTTTGTCCTATTTGAAGAGAAGCTGCTTCCACCTGAAGATCATTTTTATTTTCAGTTTCTAGGATCAACCTTACCGTTGGATTATTTTCAGTTTCTAGGATCAACCTTAACATTGGATGACTTTCCTCAGCACAAGCTGATCCAACCTAGTGTCAAGACAGTTTTTATTACTTGCAAGGGATTCTACAAAAAGCAAAAAAAAAATAAAAATAAAAATGGAAGTTTTAAGGCCCTGTTTGGTTTAAGTAAAAACAAGTTGATAAAAAATATAAGTCAAAGTAAAAAATTAATTTTAGCAATGCCTTACATGGGAACCTCAGCTTTATCAACTTTTGGACCGCACATTTCAACAACTTTTATTGAAATCTAGTAAAAATTTGATTTTTAGAAAAACTAAACAGGGCTAAGTAGTGAGCAGCGTAAATTTTCTTAGAAAATTAGGAGATTCACGAGTTTGTAACATCATGCATGGTTTCGATTATTTTGTAATTTTGTTAATGTTTTTTGCTTGGGTTATGCTACGGGTACAATGCGGTGTCCAACGCCGTGTCCAACGCGGACACACGGCATCTCGGCATTGGCTGAGGAGCCTGTCACATCCGGGCCCACGGGCGCCTCGGCCAATGCCGAGGTGCCGTGTGTCCGCGTTGGACACGACATTGTACCACAATCATTATTCTTTTTGCTTTGGTTTTGTGTAGTTAATTCTTCTACCGCTTATCAACTAAGATTCGATTTTAAGAGTTGAAAAGTGAAAGATAATTTAATACCAATTGAAGTTATTTTGGTGTGAATGCTTGGTCGTGACTCCCCAACCCCAAACTCCCATTTCTGATTTTGCATACATACTCTTTTGTTCTGTACCTACTCATTCTTTTATTTGTCACTCAAGTCATATTTACGTAAATGCTAACTGCTCACTCGTTCTTCAATCATCTAGGGAGATAATGTGCCCCAACCCTTCGTCTCATTTGAAGCCACTGGTTTTCCCTCGGAGATTCTAAAGGAGGTATGTGCATAATTTGTATATTTGTAGTTCTTTGACAGCTAGAAGCCTTTATCAGTTTGAACGGTGGATTAATTAATTTTTCTGCAACATTAATTGACTGCTGGATGTCCGCTAGAGATTAAGGACTCGTACTCAATTTTTTCCATCCGAACTTTTTGTCTCAGGTGCGATATTTGCTCCAGGGAGGAGCCAAATGTCGTACGCTGTGCGCCATCGGATGGGGCTTGATGTATTTGGAGTGCCCGTATTTGGTGACCAATTTTGTGAAGGGCTATCTGAATGATACAAATTTGTTACTGGGACTTTGTTGGTAGTTGTTCATTCTACCCCCTGGTCCAAATAGGAGAAGTAACGACCTCCTACTGTAGCTTGCACCAGCAAGCAGTGGCTGTTTACATTGGGGGTGATGCTTGTTCTTGCACTGGCCATTCCCATAAGCCTGAATGAAACCAATCACAAATCTTGAAGAGAGTACCTCTGCTTACTGGTGTTGCGGTTTTTTTGGTTTTCCAGGTATACCAAGCTGGATTTTCTGCTCCTACTCCAATACAGGCACAATCTTGGCCAATTGCTCTACAAGGTCGCGATATAGTAGCCATAGCCAAGACGGGCTCTGGGAAAACACTGGGTTACTTGATTCCTGGATTTATTCATCTAAAGCAACGACGAAATAATCCTAAATTAGGTCCAACAGTTCTGGTATTGTCACCAACGAGGGAGTTGGCAACTCAGATACAAGATGAAGCCGTGAAGTTCGGAAAATCGTCAAAGATATCTTGCACGGTATGGATTTGATGATTGCTTGAATTTAATGAATATTGGTTCAATAACAAAGATGCTTCTATTTGTGTCTTCTTATGTAACCTTGCAGTTTTGAAGGTGTAATACCTAAGAAGTATAAACTTGTTATGTACCCGTACTTGATGTGTATTCGAGCTCCGATACTCTCCAATACGTATCGAATACTTTTTTTATAATTATTTTATATATTTTAATATATTTTTTAATTTTCGATACGTATTTTTCAATTATTTTATATTTTTGCCCCTGTTTAAGCCACATTATTGTAAAAATGAGAATGAAAAATATAGCCGTATGGGCCCCACACAAGAGATAAAAAGTCAAATGTGGTGCTTTGATGTGACGGATAATGGTTATATTTTTCATTTTAATGAGAAAATAATGAGGTTCAAATAAGGCCTTTATATATTTTCGATAAGTATTTGATATTTCATGGTTCACATGCACTTTTACTGCCAAAACGTTGCTATGAAACTTCTTGTGCAACCTTCTTCATCTAGTGCAGAAAGAAATTTGAGTACATTTTCTTTTGTTATTCGACTAGGAATAAAATAATTCTACAACGAGCTGAAGAATTGGTTTTCATTCATAGCAATTTGCATCTTTTATCAAAAAAATTGGATCTTTACTAAAAAGAGTATTCAAAATGTGGGACATTGTTGGAAACTCATTTGATAATCTTAAAGGTGTTGGACTGCTTGAGGTTGCTAATCTCTCATTAGATGAGTCAAAGTTGGAGAGTGTTATTTTTAATGATAATGAAGAAATTGATGTTTATGACGTTGAAGAAAATGAAGTTTCGACAATTAATGGCTAAGATAAAGTGCATTATTATTTTATTTTATTTTTATTTTAATGCTTTTGTAGTAATTTTTTTATATTAAAAAAAATTATTTCGAATTTTATAGCACATATCGGCGCATTCTAATTTTTTCAAAAAAACCTTATTGGTATATCCGTATGTATCGTATCCGAACTACGTATTCATATCTTAGAGTAATACTATTTCCTTATTTTTTGGTTTGCAAATTATCTAGGATATGTTTGTCTGATCATATTCTGAAGGAATATTGTATGGGGTAATGAAGTTTTTTCAGGAGAGATTATATGGCTCAAAAG